GGCACTGTAAGATTTACACAATATTACGTTGGCATCGTAAGATTTATGCAAGTTTACGCTAAATTAATTTCCTGATGTAGGTATTTACAGGAAAATTCAAAAATTTCTCCTGCTCTAGATCTTTATGATGAACATATCTTTCCATGACTTCACAAACATTTAGATGGCAAAATTTAAAAAAATACAAGATTTAAGCATAATCAAACAGAAAAAATCTGACTCACTTGAATATGATGAAATTTATCAAATTTTAACACATCCTGAGTTAAACAAAGGCATACCATTATCCACCACTTACAAAACCTATTTCTGGTTATGTTTCTTGTGTGGTTTTTGTGGTGGAGATGCTCAAAGATTAAAATTGGCAAATGTGGAATTAGCAGCTATTAATGGACAGACAATTACAATTCCTCGTGAAAAAAACAATGCTAGCTACAGTTTGCTGAAAATTTCTATAAAAAACTGTAATAATGTTCAAATAAATCTTCAAATCGCACCAAAAGATTAAATTTTAAATGTTTATAATTGATTCATGATATGAAATCGTTGTAATTCTTGCTTTTGTTGTATTTAGAAAAAAAAAATTATAATAATAAACATAATAAACATAAATGAAATAATAATAAATATTATTATTATGTAAATTTCCGGTATGATAGCTAATTAAAAAACCGGGGTGATAACTAATTGAAAAACCGGGATGTTATTGATAACCATAAGGATCTACATAGTCTATTAGGGGTGTTACAGCCTAGTTAAATCAAAACTAAGTAATCTCATATAGTGTCGATCACTAAGTTAATTTTTTTTTAATGATCGACAACGCAAAGAAAACAATAAATAAATCGTATTTTCAAAATGCTACTAGTCAGTGAAAAAGAGAGAGATCATTTCCAACTTTGAGTATGGAATAGTATAATATATATAGTTTATTAGTACAGAGAGATTTTTGAAGGTAACAAACACCATTGATGAAAACGTCACCATCAAAAATTGCTGAAAGTGTAACGGATATAATAAAAACACATTTTTCAAAATGCTACTAGTCAGTGAAAAAGAGAGAGATCATTTCGAACTTTGAGTATAGAATAGTATAATATATTTAGTTTATTGTACAGAGAGATTTTTGAAGATAACAAACACCATTGATGAAAACGTCACCATCAAAAATTGCTGAAAGTGTAACGGATATAATAAAAACACATTTTTCAAAATGCTACTAGTCAGTGAAAAAGAGAGGTATTATTTCCAACTTTGGATATGGAATAGTATAATATATCTAGTTTATCGGTACAGAGAGATTTTTGAAGGTAACAAACACCATTGATGAAAACGTCACCATCAAAAATTGCCAATAGTATAACGGATATAATAAAAACACATTTTTCAAAATGCTACTATTCAGTGAAAAAGAGAGATATTATTTCCAACTTTGAGTATGGAATGTATAATATATCTGGTTTATTAATACAGAGAGGTCTTTGAAGGTAACAAATACCAGTGATGAAAAAATCACAATCAACATTTGTTATATTGTGACGGGTCTTTTGGAATTTTTATTTTTATTATTGTTTCCTTAGAAATTCGCCATGCAATAACATTGTGTATATTAGTATTACAGCAGAGTATCTTCTGAATATAATTCTGTTTTTTTTTTGTTTTTATTTATTTATTTTTTTAAAGTGGTAAATTTTCCCTTATAGTATTCCGTGTAACATCCATTAAAAAAACCGTACATATTAATTTATCATAATGATATTAATTAGATTTGTTGATCTACTTGTATGACACCCCCCAATAGTCTATTATACATCTTATTTAAGAAATGTGTTATTTCCAAAATTTTTAATTTGGGAATTTGGCAAACCAATTAAAGATATATAAATATAGTCATAATTTGCAATGACTTGAAAAACATCCTTATTGCATTATCACATAACACTCTATTTATTTTTATTCTCTTAACATTTTTTTAAATGGACAACACTATCTGCGAAATTGTTCCTAAAATCGTGATAATAAATTTTACTGGTGTTGTGAGAAATGTAGTGTCCTAAAATGCAATGATCGAGCAACTACTATATTGGATAGGGAGCAACATTATCTTCAAGGTACTTCTGACCATAACCATGCTCCAGAAGCTAGTCGATTTGGGGTTGTAAAGACCATTAATACAATAAAAGGAAATGCTAGAGAGGCCGATGACCTACCCTCACAAATTATCCAAAGTACAATTTCTAATACTGCTAATTCTCAAGAAGTATATACATCCCTTCCATCAAATGAAGCACTTTGTAAATCAATCAGATGAATTTGTAATGCTGATTTCCAGAGTCTATAGAGGATATTACTATTCCTGAAAACATGAAGGTGACTTTAGATGGAGTAAACTTTTTAGTTAAGGATTCTACAATAGGTGAAAATAGAATTCTGCTTTTTACAACTGTTACATACATACCTTTTAATAATAATAGTAACATCCTTGAAATAATTTTCATTTTCTGGTCAATTAATATATGCATAAATAAAACCGTTAATAATCATTAATAAAACTTTCTTTTCTTTTAACTTATATATATTAAATATTAATAACATACATCTCTTCCAGATTCTGCTAATGTTATTAATAAATAAATACTTTTAATTTAACCATTACACTTCTGAATATATATAAAAAATTATAGAAAATGGGTGAAAAAAAAATTAGTAATAGTATGTAGCTAATCTTTAAAAATATTAAAAAAACCAAATTAACTGACATTATTTCCATTTTATTAATAATAGCCATTCTTGAAAAGAGTCTGTTATGCAAATTTATTTTTGTTTGAAATTCTATTTCATCCAGCAATATATATATTAATATTATTAGGTAAAATTTTTATTATTATTAAGAAAATAATCTTTAAAAATAACTACCAATTAATAATCAGGATCTATTCCGCGGATTTGTTTAATATTAAAAAGCAAATTTAAAGTTAATATAAAAAAATTAAGCCCAAAGATTGAAATTGTGCATGTTATCCAATTTCTTAATTTATTATTATTATTATAGAATTTATAGAACTGGTAGTCCCAACTTCCATGTTAAGAATAATGCTTAGTGGTATTTGTTTACCCTGGCAAAAAATAATGGTTTTTTCATATACCTGTTTATTTTTTATAATCCAAGTAATAGTTTGATTAATCAAGCAAGTTTATGTGATCACCCCCTGCATATCCGTCAGTCCCCCGTAATAAATATCCCACAATCACGCGAAATTCAACTGAAGACTAGCGTTCTATAAAAAGAAAAAAAAATAATTTAATTCATTATTAAAATTCTGTCAATTATTAAAAAAAGCAAAAAGCAAGCATGCATAGAACAAAAAACCAGCAGACTCCGGATCCAATTGCACCACATTCTGAACGTTTAGTATTATACATGAATACACATCCAAACACGCTGTTAGGATATGCAAAATATTATGGTGGATATAGCAATGCAATTAGTGCTCGTATGACAGATATTAACTCTATTGGGTTTGTTATGTTGGTGAAGACTGACAACGATAAAGAATCAGAAGTTAATATTAGATATAAACATCAATTGGGGTCTTGTGACCAAGTTAGACCAATGTTAACTCAAATGGCAAATGAATGCGAAGAAGCTTTAGGACTGGTATGTTGAATTGATTGAATAGAATTAAAATGATCATGAAATTCTAAAATTTATAAATTTTGAATATTTTCTCTTTATATAGTCAAATACTAGACCACCTTTGCCAAATCATACACCATTCAATCCACCAAGCCCTTTGAGATGTTTCTCAGTATTATCATTGATTGGTTTAAATATTCTATTGGCATACTATCCAGGACCTTTGCCCAATTTTCTAGAATCTATTAGATCGTTTTTTGGTTATGATTTTATAAAACTGTTTGTTTACTTTACAATAGTTATTCATGCTATAGAAGCTCTCGTGGTTGCAATTATTTTATACATAAGAGGGGAACCAGATTTATCCACCAGTATTAAATGGGTATTGATGACAGCAATATTAGGGCATTTTTGGCAAATCTTTATACCAACAAAACGAAAAAACAATTGAAACCTTATATTTATTCATATAAATTTTAACTCTACAAATTATTTTGATAATATATTTTTATTAATAATATTTAGAAAAATAATAAATTTTAGAAAAATAATATAAACGATACATTATCTAATTTGTAATCAATCAATATTTTTACTTCATTGTTATCAGTTACATCATTTTTGAATCTTTATTTTATTATCTTATTACATAATTGTATGTTGTAATTATTATTTGGCTATTGCTAGATTATTATTGCTAATGTTGCTATGTTGCTATAATAATTAATAATTAGACAGCCAACAGTTCGCCATAGTTCTGTAAGAATACTACTGTAGCCACAAAAACAGTCACAGAAATAATAATTTCAAAGTTTCCTCGTCGTTTATCTGGTGCAAAAATTTCATTACGGAGGAAACGAGTAAAGAAATTTCCACCATTATTGCTTCCTCCTCTTGAGGATCTGGATGATTGAATAGATGGTCGAGGCATAAATTTATTCTAGTTATTATACTTTAAAAATTTAATTAATTTAAATTTGTTTTTTAATTTTAATGATTATGTTTTTATCCTTGTTTTTTGATTTTTATCAATAATATATTTGATCTTGAGAGAAAATATTTTTGGTCATCAAAAAAAATTTTTGTATCACATTTTTTCAAATGTTTTCTTTAGCATCAAGCAAACCAACGAAATTTGGTAAATTCTCCTTCGACAATGCTTCCTTCTCTACTCAATTCCTTCTTATCCTGTAATATTATTTAACATTAAATAAGAATTTAATAAATTTACTTGTAAAGCACTTCAATAAATCAAATGCAATTTTTGTCCATGAATATAAAGTGATCTAATCTAATACAGGAAGATAAAACTCGAGGGTGAAATTATTCAACATAAAAAGCAACCTTTGATTAAATAATTGCTTGAAATAAATCTGTCAAATTTGATCATTGAAATCATTTGAAATATGCCGATAAGTGAAAACCTAAAGAATAATGTCATATAATAATATTCATTGTATAATTGGAATCAAATATGATTATCTTTAACTCAAGGACATAAAAATATTTTGACTGAAAAGACTTTCTCCAAATAAGTATTCTTTGATTGTGTAAATATATAGAAATTTAAAGAATAGTAGTAGTAATACTGTGAATTTTCTCAGATTTGGGTTTCAAAGAAAAGTTCCTGAACTATGTTTAATACAATCCAAAGGAAGAAAAGCAATTTTTCTAAAAAGTTCCTTTCTCGGAAAATACAACTGATAACAACTAATGATGCACCAAAATCACTGATCAAATACAAGAACTGCAACAAGAAAACCAACAACTACAACTTCAAAATCAACAGTTAAAACAATGGTTGCAACGACTACAACAACAATTACAAAAGTAGCTTCAAAAATACAGCATGATGATGATTATGATGAGGATACTGTTATGATTGATGATGGTAATGGTCATGGTAATAATCAGAAGTAAATATAGTGCATTTAATCATGAATTATCATTAATTAATTATTGAAAAAATAATTACTTATTATCATTATTATAATGAGATCATAATTTATAGTATTTAAGCTCCCTGTGAGCCAGCTTGTGAACTTATTAAGTTATTTGGCATGCAAACTGGCTCATGTGGAGCTTTAGGTGCATGCAAGTTTTACAAATATCAACAATGATCAAGTTTGCAAAATACCAAGACTGACGTTTTATCATCTTTGATGATAATATTTTAATTAAAAGTTTAATTAATTAGTTTAGATTTTTCACAACTCTTAATTTAATTAATATATATAGAAATTATTTATATTTATCTTATGAATCAATTTTGTCTCTTACTTCCTTCTTTCAATACTGTAAAACTTCTAAGTTTCTTTAAAATGATTAAGTAATTTTAATATTTTATGTACAAAAAAATAAATTAAATATCTTTGACTATTATTAAAATATGTATAATTATATGTATAATTAGATAATATATATTCTAGAAAATTATTTTATAATATATTAGAAAGAATCAAGGCAAATAAAATTTTAATATTTATTAATATTGAAGATTACTACTAATACTAATACTATTATTATTATTGATTATTATTATGATTAATTTTATCTATAAATTATAATGATAATTAATATTAATGTTAGTAAAATATCAAGCTAAAGATATTCTACTAAACGTAAAAGCTTTTACTTTATCCTATATCTGAATTATGATCAGGCACTTTATTAAAGGAAGCAATAAAATTTTTTGATTAATGATTAGATGTTAGATAATAAAATTATTATTATTAAATTTTGTTAACTTACAATTATCTGGAATCTCAAGGTCTTCTTGCAAAGAATCTAATTAACAATAATATTATAGATAATAAGGTTATTTATTTATTTATTTATTTATCTGTTTGTTTGTTTATAAATAATTTGAATCTTTACCAGTTGTTGAAAGTCTCGATCTGTGTTTATCTTGCCTTTCTCCTAAAAAAATATTTTTGAAAATATTGAATAATTTTATTTTATTGATTTTTTATAAATAATTGATGAAAGAGAGAAAACTTACTATTAATATTTTTGGGTGGAAATTTCACATTTCCAAATAATGCATCACTAACAGTTATAGGTTGCCGTTGCTGTGGTCCTTCTTGCAAATCTTCTTGTGGTTCTTCTTGCAGTTCTTTTTGTTTCTCTTTTTGTTCCTTTTGTTCCTTTTGCTGTTGAGTAGTATGAGTTGACTCTGATGTCGATCTTTTTTCTTCCTCCTCTTTCGATTCTTTTTGATTTAATTTACCTTTTTTCTCAATTGTTGCTGATGTTGCAGTTGTTGAAACTCTTTTTTCTTCCAGTTTGTTATTATTGGTAGTATTATTCCTAGAAATAGATCTTTTGGAATTCTTTTTCCTAAAATAAAAAATTTTTTTTTTAAATTTTACTTCTCCGAGCGATTACGTAACATCTACAGCATTTACGTCATCATCGCCAACTGGTAATTGGTATATTTCAAATATACCATATAAATAATGAAAAAAATTAATATAAACATTACCTTTTCGATGAATTGCCAAAACAAAAACAAAATCGCATCTCTTTTTTTTTTCTTGAAAAAATTATTAGGAATTTAGAAAGACTAAAAAGAAAAGAAGAAAGAACGGACGAAGAATCGAAGATAGTATCCAAGAAAAAAGAAAAGAACAAAAGAAACAAAGAAGAAAAGAAGAAGAAAAGAAGAAGAGAGAAGAAAGATGAAAAATGAAAATTCAAAGAGAAATTCAGGAATTATAATTGAAGGAAAAAATATTTTTGGAAAAAGAAAGGTTTTTAAGAAATGTGATTAACAAATAGGAAAAAAAATAAATGATATATTTGTATTGGTGGGGTTGTGTTACATTCATTTATAGCATAACAAAAGTTAACAGCAATAAAAGAAAGATAAACGTTGTTATTATTTGTTTTTTATCAATTAACATTCAAGGAATGTGTTAACAATTTATTATTTTGTGAATGAATTGAATAGGAAATCGAAATGAAGATTGAATTTGAGTGTGATGATTATGGTAAACAATAATGGCAACAAGAGTAAGCATGTTGTCGTAATTTAAACATTGTGTACTTATATACACACAACTTCAATTTATTGCACAGAAAAAATCAATTATTAATAATACTTAGCACAACATGAATAATAAATATGAATTTAAAAAAGATACTAAAAAAAATTATTTGTGTTTTATTATTGTTGTTGTTTTCTAGTTTCTTGTGGCTGTTTTTTGGCTTTTAGAATTCATTCTTGGAAAAAAACATTGTTGCATTTTTTTTATTTGCCAAATCGGTATAATAGCAACAACAATAATAATAATTTCCCGAAGTTATGATTAATCTATTGATTGACATGACTTTTATAGTCGAACTTTCTTAGAAATTTATCCGAGACCCGAGAAATTATCTAAAATTCAACTCACTATTAAGGTTCATTATATGAGGTAAAAATATTATATAAATTAGAGTTTCTATTAAAATCATAACGAGTAATTTTTTTTTATAGAAAATATTTCTATCCATCTTAGAATAATTAAATGAATTATTTTTTTCTAAATTCCAAAAAGACACAAAGTACATGAAATTTAACGACTCCAATCAAACAACTAAAGCTGCAACATGTACATTGTTGACTGATTCTAGGGAGTAGTATTCGTTTTTATTATGGTTCGTGTAACTTGGTTGTTAGGGTGTACCTGTGTTGCGAAGTTTTTTTATGTGGAATGAAAATTGAACATATTAATATATAATTTACTAAAAGGATAGGATTAGTCTCATCTGCAAGACTTAAAGGTAGGGCATCGGATACCAAGGATGGTGAATATATCTCGTTTACATATGGGATTACATTTGCATGAGGATACCTTCTGGGGTTTGATTCCAATATAAACAATTTAAGTTTAGTGGAAGTAAGACATGATAATTTCCTATTAATATCTAAATTGTGGGTAACGAATTATATAAAAGTTCCAATTTAAATGGTGTAATAGCGTATGACGGAGTTAATTTGCATTTGACGATCGTCAAAGATAATTATGATAAATGCTAAATGCCACAATATTACCATGTGATCGTGATTAAAGTCATTAATATTAATTAAATATTTCGGAATTCCGAATTGTTCCGAAATGTTGAAAATTGAAAAGGTCGAAAAATTTATTGATAATAATAATATGTAATTTCGATATTTCTGGAATTCCATGGTTTCAGTTGACATCTTTTAATCGTGATCACTTCAAATTTCATAAATATCCAATTTCGATTTTTCTTTCAAATAGTGTGCCTGCTTTTTGGATAAATATTTTCTTGTTGACCAATTTGCGTTTATAAACAGGTGTAAAATGCAAAGGGTGCGTGACCCAAAATTCAGGAGATATTTTCTAAATTTGTACTAGTTATGCGAAATTTACATACTGGGGTACTACCAGCTTTTGTCTATGATAATTTCATCACAATTTAGACATCTTTCACAAATAAGCTGCACATTTATGACACTGAAATAGTAACTTATAAAATTTGGAGATGATTTATGGAAGGGCCAGAAAATATATGTTTAGATTTGGCAATGGACATCCTGGACAACATGTTGAACATGTTCAATACATATCCAGACAATCTACTCTTGTCCTTCTATAAAGTTTTAATCATGCCAAAATTGCCATCACATTTGAATTTATTATGTCCAGGAATCATGAAATTCAATTCAATACTTTCATAATAGCCACAAATTACTGAATATAAATAAATCAAATAGTAGTATTATTTTTATTCTGTCCCCAGCATTATCACAAGTTATCTTTAAATGCTTTTCATTTCCTAATTCCATCAAAAATCATACTAAGAGTGTCATTGGGTCCTTTTCCTATAATTTCATCTTCATTAAGAACATAATTAATTTGTTCCCTTACTGCTTCATCTTGAATACCAAATAAATGGACTTTACATGGACTAAGATAATAAATTTTACTTACTTGTTGATCTAAATGTGGCACATGAATATTTTGGGCTCAATCATAACTATAATGAGCAGTGGCATCAACACTACAATATTGTGCTTTACTCTTTGAATAATGTTGATCAATTAGTTTTTTTATTCTTCTGCTAACTTGGTATTTTTATTATACTACAGTCAGCATTATTACCAAATTTGGAAATCGAATCTAGAAAAATTGGAACCTCTTTGTTGATCAATTCATATGTGTGGCAAACGAGTTAACATGATACTTTGCTGCCTTTTGAAAATCTTTTTTTTTTTAAATTATAATAATAATAACCGAAATAAACAGTATTGAACTTGCTTTTTCATAATCTACTAAAAATCTACAAAAACCTATTAATTTGTTCAAAGTAAGC